TTTTTATTTTTTATTTTTATGGTAGGTTGCGTGGTTCTATTTCTTTTTGAGTTTTTTATTAATAAATCTTATTTAGAGGTGTTTTAACCGTCCATCAAGAAAAATTATAACTTAGTTAGTCTCATGTATTTATATTTTTATTCCATGAGATTTTTTTTTCTGATTTATATTGTTTGTTAGACTATTATAATATTATGTCTAGTGTTCATATGTATTACATAGAAAAAAAATTTACACATTTCCTTTTTGTTGCAATCTCTATTTTGGTAGTTACCAGTATTCATGTTTTTCTTTTTAATCAGTTTCATTTACATTTGTGGTATTGTTTCATTGTGCTAGGATTTTGAAACTCTCTATTTGGTAGAGTTTAGAAACTATAGTTTACACATGGTGGTGAAATAATATTATATTCCTCCATTGTTGCAATGAAGCTTTATGTTCCTCCATTGTCACTTTGTGTTCGAAATTCTGTGTTCGTCCATTGTTGCTCTATGTTCGAAACTCTATATTTTTCCATTGTTGTAACTCGAACTTTTGTTTATTTTTAGTCAATTTTGTTACAAACATATTGTTTAAAGGTGGGCTTGGTTTGATTTGAATTGGTGAAATGGTGAAATTGCATAGATTGTTAATGATAGTGATAATAACAGAGATGATGATGAAGATGAGGATGTGGGTGGTATTTTTTTATTTTTAGAGTGACCGAGTTTTTTTTTTTTGATTTCTAATTTTATTGCTGCCATTGTTTCTATTTTTTTTATCAATCAGTGTGGATGTTCACATTTCACATTGTTTGAAAGTCTGAGAAATAAGTGCTGAAATATAGATATGGATATAATTATATATTTTGGAAGATATGAATATTCACATATCATTGGTTATTTGTTACTATACTTGTTATTTGAACAATTATTTTTTTTTGTTACCATTAAACAATTAAAATAGTCATTTTTTTCTTTTAATTTTGTTTCATGTTGTAGTGTGAATGTTTACATTAGTATGAATTTAGTTTTTTTAAGGTTAATTGTATGTTAATTATAAATTGAAAACATTCACATTGTATTTTAGTATGAGTTTTTTTTATTTTTTTATTGAAGTTTTTTCGAATGTAAGTTGTATTTTGTTTTTTTTTTACTGTGCTTGTTGGTTGAACAATCATTTTTGTTACTAATGAATAATCGAAATAGTCGATTTTTATTTTTTTCAATTTTATTTTATATTTTCACGTTGCAGTGTGAATGTTCACATTAGTATGAGTTTAATTTTTTTTTTAAACTAGTTGTATATTAATTGTAAATTATGAACATTCACATTATATTTTGGTATAAGTTTTGTTTTTTCGAAAATTAATTGTATGTTTGTTGTTTTTGTTACTATGTGCTTATTAGTTTAACAATCATTTTTGTTATCATTAAACAATTGAAATAGTCGATTTTCACTTTTTTCAATTTTGTTTTATATTTTCACGTTACAATGTAAATGTTTACATTGGTATGAGTTATTTTTTTAATGTTAATTGTATGTTAATTATAAATTGTGAACATTCACATTGTATTTTTGTATGAATTTTTTTTTTTAAAAGTTAGTTGTATATTTGTTGTTTATTGTGAATATTCACATTGTACTTTAGTATGTGTTTTGTTTTTTCAAAAATTAGTTGTATGTTTGTTATTTACTGTGAATATTCACATTGTATTTTGATTTTCATTTAGAATTTTTATTGCGTTATTTTTAAAATTTTCAAATTATAAAAATGTTCAAAATACATAATTTGATATTTTCTCCATAGAATGTGGGAGATATTTTCTCTTTAGAATAAGGGAGAGATTTTTTTTATGGAATAAGGAAAAGATTCTCTCTTTAAAATGAGGGAGAAATTTTCTTCATAAGATGAGGAACTATTGTTATGTATTAGTTTCAAAATAAAAATATGTGCAAAAAATTAAAAATAATGATTTGGTCATATCACATTAAACAGGATTTAATGGAATACTAAAAAAATATATGAATTAGACGGAATAAAACAGTTCGAAAAAGGATTTCTCAAAAAATGACCATTTTTCACCTTTACAAATAATGTGAGTGCATAGAATTCATCAAATTAATAAAAATAAAATAAAAACTGTAAAGATAATTTAAATTATGTGCATAGAAAAGTGAATGTGATATAAATTTATTGTGTGTATAGTAGAGATGGCATTAAAAATGAATCTTGATCATATAAAATTTTATTTAACGCAAAAGAGAGAAAAAAAAAAAACAAATCATCAACTTTAACATTGGTGATGCAGTAATATATATGATTATAATTTTCATGGGATTTTATATGAAATGCTTATTTTCTATCCCTTTTTTATTTTTGTCCTTTTAGGTTGTATTTGGATTATATATTTGAGTAGTAATTTAGAAAATTCACATGTCTTTTCCTTTCAATTTTCAAATTTTTATCAAAATTTATGATTGAAACACAGCATTAATGCACCATCTAGACATCACCTCATAAAAATATCAAGGCATATTCTTCAATAAGTATTTTTTTCTTTTAAATGAATTTTGTTTGGGTTACATACACAACTCGAAATCATTGATCATTAGACTAACTGTCCCACATATACACATCATATGCAATGCCTAACCAATTGCAGTACTCAAGAAAATGATGAGGGTGATGAATATGTAATTGTTAGCCACATTTGTTTTGGTTTCATATTAATAAGCCCATAAAGAAGTTGTTCTGACGAAGGAGGTGCCAACTAGGGTCGATAACCAATCTTATGATTTCAAAAATCCCTTTCAACAAAAAAAATCTTTTATCTCTAATGCTATTTTGGTTAAGAAATTTAGGGAGGAATTTAAAAATAAAAAGGAAAAGAATGTGTAAAACTAGATGAAATGTACGTATATTTTATTCTTATTTTACTTCTCTTTTCTCTTTTTCTTTCCAAATCCCTTTCCAAATACACCAACCAAACACAATGTAAATATTTCTTTCTCTATGTTCTAAATTTTTTTACAATTACTGGATCATGTAATAATTTTGGTACAACGGGATGGAAACAGTGAATTCCTTGCCTTTACAACAGAGGTTTGGCATCTTTGATTTTTTAAATTTTTAATTAATTAATTATTTATGTTTTAAATTGAAGTGTTTTACCCCCTCTATGTCAATGTGTACGTGCCCAAGCTTGTTAATTATTACATAATCAAATATATTATTAATTATAATTTGATTTTTATTTTAAGGGTGTTGACTATATTATCATATTGGGCCAATATATATATATATATATACATACATATTATAGAGATTATATACGTTTAATTTTTTGTTATTATATTTATAATCGATTGAGTTTAAAATACCAATATGAATAAAATTTAAAAGAAAAAAATAATTTACTAGTATAATAGGGGAACAAATATATGACTATACTCCTGACCATTTATAAATTACCACACTTTGTTATTCTCAATTACCCAATAAAAAATTTATGAATTATATTCTTTAATCAATCACAACATATTTGGAATACTACTTTACCGTGTTTCAAAATTAGCAAATAACTTCGCCTAGCTTTCGTTTGGCATTCAATCTTGGACTAAAATAATTATGAAATAATAAAATAGATTAAAAATTCAATAAGATAAAATGTCACATCTAAATTATAATCATTTTATTTTTTTCTCACAAAAGTCAAAAAAATTAAAAAATTCATTCCAAACGAAACTTTTTAACCCAAATTAAAATAATCAAAAAAATTAAAAAGTCAACTCCCATCCCAAATAAACTCTATATGTAGGGATTGTTTGGGATGACCTAAATAAGTGTACTTTTTATCTTTTTACGAAAAGATGTACAGAAAAGTAGAGAGATGATGTGATGGAAAAAAAATAAAAGGATAAAAAGTATGTACTTATTTTGGGTTGCCAAACTTGGCTGTATTATAAGGAGAGGAAAACGTGGTGATGACGAAATGAGTGATGGAAGGGTTGAGTAAGAGAGCAACCAGGTAGAGAGAGAGAGAGAGGATTGGGATTGTGTAGGAAAAGGGGAAGAAAATTTTGGATAGATGTAGGCATTGTCTGTCTCTGGGTCACCACCCCATCATTCAGTATCACCACCTTGTTCTCTGGACCTGATAACACCCTAACATGATTTTGTAGTTCCACTGTTCCTTTCACAAACCCATTGGTGGGCCATGCAAGCACTATTGAATTGTTAACCAAGCATTTATATGGGTTATTTGTTAACAAGAAGCAATAAATTTTAAATTTTGTATTTGAATATCAATTGCTTATTTAGTGTTAATTAAAGAAAAAATTTAGAAACATAAAAATTTATCATAGAATAAGATATAATTTCAACATATGAGATGAGTTTCATTTTTCTATAAATTTTATAAAAAGGGATCCAATTATATGATTAATTTTTGTATAAATAAAATAACTCTTAATTAAAAATCATTACAAATGTTTCACCTCTTTATGAAGGAAAGTCTGACAAAAGAATATGTTGAGAATATAAATAAAAAAAAAACATCTACCATTTTTCTTTGAGATTTTTTTCCTCCATTGTTCACCTTCTATATATATTTCTCATGTGACATAGTAAATTTCACTATTTTTTAAATATAGTGAAATAAATGTAGTGATAAATTATATTTCTCGTAAATTAGTGATATTATAGAGAATATCGTTTAAAAACACAATTCCTATCTTTCTTACATAATTTGCAAACATATTACTATCATGTCATTTCTGTTGTATATTCTTTTTTGGTCATTTCTGCTGTAAATTCAGTATGAAAATTATAATAGTTTAACTTTTTGCTTTCTCATAATAAATTTTAGATGTATTAATGATTAATAATTCAAAAATAGTCTCTTTCTCTCTCTCTCTAAGGTAGTAATATACTATATTGTAGGAGGGAGAAAGGTGGTAACTTTGCCAAAAAAGGTGGTAGTACCCTGGTATATAAAGGTGGGTGTGGGGCTTTTGAGTCTTTAATAATAACCAAGTAGTACTATATAGAAATAGGAGGAGAAGAGACTTGGGTTTGGTGGTTGGTGTTGGTGGTTGGTGGTGGTAGTGATGGGCAGACAACCTTGTTGTGACAAACTTGGGGTGAAAAAGGGGCCATGGACAGCAGAGGAAGACAAGAAACTCATCAATTTCATCCTTACTAACGGCCAATATTGTTGGCGCGCCGTCCCCAAACTCGCCGGACTCCGCCGCTGTGGCAAGAGCTGCCGCCTCCGATGGACTAACTATCTCCGTCCTGACTTGAAGAGAGGTCTGCTCACTGAGTCTGAGGAACAGTTGGTCATTGACCTCCATGCTCGTCTTGGCAACAGGTTTTTTACTCCCTCTCATATCTCTCTTGGATTATTTTTTATGCTGCAAGCAATAAAAATAGTAACAATGCTACGTACGTAGAAAAAATATTTAGAATAATATGAAAGATCTTGATAATTATTGTCGATGTTAAAATAAAATTATTAAAAATTAAAATAAAACAAGTTTTATCCTTTTGATTTACAAGATTTCTGTTTTCATTGAGCTCATTTTAACAACTAATTTTTGTTGATAAAAAAATGTTCAAATATTTTTAAAACCTTCAACATACATTTTCACATGTTCTTATGTAGTTTTAACAAATTTTCATAACCTTTATACGGATAAACTGAGATTATTCACTCCTTATTGTGCGGCGGTTATTATTTTTCAAAGTACGAGTTTGAAACATGTAAATTATTCTCTTTGGAAGTAATCTACGTCACACTAAAGTTAAATTTAGAAAAAATTACTGTTCAACTAAAAATATTTACGAAATTATGAAGGTGCAAGTCTTTCCTATGGAAAAAAAAATACAAATACAACAAAAGTTATACCCGCAAAAAATTCTCACTTTTTGGTAATTTTTCTTCCCACCCCTCCTTGAATAGTAATTTATCCATAAGTATATACCTTAGATTCAATTATAAAAAAAAATTGTTATACTATTTTTTTGTTGTTGAATACAATACATTTAAATACGAAAAACTCAAAATAATTGTTAATTCTTCTCATTTAAATGAAATTTTCTATTTTTTTTGTTACATAACATTTTAACAAAAAATAGCATACTTTAAAGTTAAACTCAATTGAATTTTAAAATTTTTTATAATATGAGAGTTGTTAGAATTCCTTTGACATTTGAAAAAATAATTAACAACTCATGAAATAAACTTGTCTTAGATTTTTCTCATTTTCAACCAAAATATTTGTAATTTTTAACAAGTTTACGGCTCGGTGGATAATGTGTGTGGACAAATTTGGGATGTAAGGAAAAGAATGGGGACATAACATTATTTGTGTTTTGGTGACACAGATAATTTAGTAAAATAATGTAAAACCAAACTTGAGTTCAATTTGGTTGCCACACAATAAAATTTAGAAAATCATATTGGACTCAAATAAAATTCAATTCATTCATCTTTTTAAGTCTCACGTTAGATTGATTTGATATTTATAGTCACGTTATTTTAATACAATTATTATCAAATAAATTAATGGTGTATTTTCAAATTCAAACTTGGTGTCCATTTTTTTGAAAATAAATATAAAAAATTACGAGACGCGATTATAAGATAAAATTAATTTTTTGTTTTTTTTTTTTTTTTTTATAAATGATTTACATATAAAGGACCAGAAGATGAACAATACGTACAAATTATTAAAATGGACCCTCTGATGATCTAGACCTTTTTAAGGGAGACAAATAACTATGGGAGACAAATACTTCCCTAAAAGTAATTACGCGATTATAAGATAAAATTAATTTTTTTGTTTGTTTTTTTTTTTTTTTATAAATGATTTACATATAAAGGACCAGAAGATGAACAATACGTACAAATTATTAAAATGGACCCTCTGATGATCTAGACCTTTTTAAGGGAGACAAATAACTATGGGAGACAAATACTTCCCTAAAAGTAATTATAAGTAGAAGTTCTAAATAGCTTGTTCTTTAAGAATTAAGGCTTCGTTTGAGAACAGGCTAATTTAGTAACTTTTTGATTATTTGGCTAAAATATGAGTTAAAAAAAATTAGTATGTTTGAGACGATTTTTTGACTTTTTACGAAAAGATATGCAAAAAGTAGAGAGAAAAGAAAATTTTTGACTTTTTAGTATAGGTTGTTGGCTTTTTGACTAATTTAGTAATTTTTTTACTTTTTAACTAAAAAAGATAGTTCCCAAACAAGGTCTAAAATTATTTGTTTCCTTGCATGTTCAATTCGTTGCGTCCTTGATTTTTATTAGTTCATGAGATTACCCATGTTAACAAAAGTAATATTATAAAGTATTAAGATTGAAGTAGATTAGATAAGAATATAGAAAACGACAAGTGATTTAAATTCTTTATTTAGCTCTATATGACTGTTTTTTATGGATTCCAATGACATAAAATTAAATTTTTTATTGCGAGGGCGTTCTCAAACAGTATATCCGCTAAATAATTTAGTTCAACAATATCTTGGCTTCAAATTCAAGGGATGACTTTATCTTAGCAACCAATTAAAATATACTGAGTGCATCATTAGTAAAAACTTACTTGTACTAATGGGTTTGAATTTATTGTTGGACATTTAATATTATTATATTCGTAATTATTACAATAATTTTGTATTCTTTGTTCTTTACCAGGTGGTCTAAAATTGCATCAAGATTGCCTGGAAGGACTGACAATGAAATCAAAAACCATTGGAACACCCACATCAAGAAAAAGCTTCTGAAGATGGGAATCGATCCGGTAACCCATGAGCCCCTCGCCAACAAAGAATCGAATCCAACCGAGCCATCATCTAATTCAGAACTTTCCCGAGAAACAAACAGCAACAATCAAGAACAATTTCAAGAAACTAGTAAAGTCATCATCCCAAGCTTAGAGAAGAAGTACTCATCAGACTCATCAACTGAGAATTGCTACGATGACCCGTTAATGGGCTGCCTATGGGGGGATGAATCTTGGGAATTTCCAGCTTCTGGGCATAGTTTCAGTGACATTAGTTTGCCATCTTTGGATGAAAGTTGTGCTTGGCTGTTGGATTGCCAGGATTTCGGTGTTCATGATTTTGGTGTCGATTGCTTCAATGATGTCAATGTCATGAACACGTTAAACACGTGATATTTTATAGTAACATTATGCCGATCAAATTTAAATACCAAATTTTAGATATAGACTGTATAATATTTAATATTTGGTATCTGAATTTGATCAGTTTGTGTATATATATTGTAACAGAGTATTATGGGCAGGCCGAAATGAAACCTCGCTTGTTTATAGAGACTTCTAATTATGATCACCAACCAAATCCAAATCAATTAAATGAAGGTTATATCGTTTAAATATGTTGTACTTAAAGGGCTCTGCACGTTGGACATATCAAAATGTTAGGATGGGCCTTGTGAATGTGAAGCCTTTTGTATATATGTATGTATTTATGTTGAAATTAATAAAGAGATATATTATTTGTTTTGCTGTGATTTATTCTGTAAATATTAGTACAGATATTTCAACTGTTGCACTCTTTGTTTATTAAACTCAAAAGTGAGGATAGTGGATCCGGTAATTAATAGATCTTTTAAGTAAATAAAAATTAATAGATCTGATTGTATAAAATAAAAATTAATTTTCTATAGTTTTTGAAAAATAAATAAATAAATAACTTATTTGGTGTAGCTAAATATTTTGAAATAAAAAATTAAAAAATTAAATGGTTAGCTTCTGTTTGGGAAGTGGGTTGGCTTTTTGGCTTTTTTGGCTATTTTAGCCTGAGCTAAAAAGTTTGGTTTGGGAAGGGCTTTTTGGCTTTTTGGCTTTTTTGACTTTTTTTGTGAGAGAAGAATGTAATGATTATGGGTTGGATGTGATGTTTTGTTTTTTGTGGCTAAAATAGCCTATTTTGTCTTTTGTGACTAAAATAGCCAAAAAAGTCCCGTTTAGCTCTTGCCAAACGGAGGCTTAGTGAGTTGCTAGCGACTGATGTTGGAGGGAGGCCTCTTTATTTGGTTTTTTTGTATTTTATTTTTATTTTTTTCAAAAGTTGTGTTCATGGGTGGGCCAACATGTCATCTCTCACATGTCATTGGGTAATAGACTTCAAACCTCAAACCTAAAGCCAAGCCAAGCCTCATTTGGGTTCGGCCAGCTTTTCCCAAGGTACAACCTAATGATACTGCTAATCCTTGGAGTTCGGTCGGGCTGATCCATACTTCTAACATCGTTCTCTGATCACTAAGTCTATCAGGGTACCTGCACAAATGCCCAGCGGGAAACGGGAGTCCCCCAATGGACCCTCCGACAATCAAGTTAGAAGAGAAGAGGTTAATGGCCAGTAGAGAGAGAATAATGATAGGGAACTTAATCTTTTGTGTGTCTTGGAAGCCTCCTTATATCCTTAGTTCATCATTTTCTTGTCCACTCTGACATGTCATGTTGGCCGAAAGTCTATGCTCTCGCTTGCCTTATTCGTGGTGAGGCTGTCTGTTCCGACGTAAAGGGATTATCGCATTTAATGCTGCAGGGACCTCATTAATGGCTGATGTGTGGTGCAATAACTCTACAGGATCTTTATCTGCTTACGTGATTGGTTCTCCTCTTAACAAGTGTTTAGATGCCATTGGTTCTTGATGCAACGTTGGGCTTTAGTAATGTTGGGCTTAAATGCTTAAACTGTGAATTGGGCTCTAAGTGGTGGGCCAAAAGCCTCTATAGGCCCACTGATGTCAGTAGTCTCCCATTCCCAAGTGCAGCTTCAGTCCAACGAAGGGAATAAGAAGGGAGATGGGTATTGTGTGTAGCCGAGTGAGAAGACTGACCGAGAGGAGGGTTGACTGCGAGGGGGGACCGAGCGAGAAGACCGATCGAGAGGAGGGCCGACCATGAAAGGGGACCAAGCAAGAAGACCGACCGAAAGGAGGGCCGACCGCGAAGGGAGACCGAGCGAGAAGACTGACCGAAGGGAGGGCCGACTGTGAAGGGGGACCGAGCGAGAAAGTGGTGACGCGCAGGGCTCGAGGAGCGGCGGGGCACGTGGTGATGTGAAGTGGAATAGACAGGGAAGGGGAAAAGAGTAGTGAATCGTGGTTGTACACGTGGCATGATCCAGTGATAAGGGAGGTGATGCGTCAGCAAGAAGTGAAGGGTTAGGACTAATATAGGATGTAAAAAAGACAGCGGCGGAAACTTTCGAAATTTTCAAACTGGTGAAATTTAATCTCAATCCTTGGAATATAGGCAAACTGTGGGCATTTGGAGTTATTCGTTTTACGTATCTCTTCGCGAAAAACCAACATATCCCAGAGTTGAACTCATTTGTTTCGTGTGACACGTCTTTCCAATACTTTGCGAACTTCTTTGTGCCAGCGTCCGAAGCGACACGTAGACACATAGAGGAGATGACTCGAGATAAAGTGCCAGCCATAAGGCTAGAGGCATTGGGGGAGGACAACACAGTGGAGTTGGCTGAACAATATAGAGCAGAGAGACGGAAGGAAAAAGGGACGGAGCAAGCGGCTCGAGCTCTCCCATCGACGATGATCGTAGCCGCAAGACTAATTAGCCAAGTGGAACCAGACCACTGGCACACCAAGGCCGACAAGTCTATCTTCACAGTGGAGGAGTTGCAGGAGATACAAAGGAGTACCAGATTCCGGCGAAGATAAAGCTGAAGTTGCCCAAGTCTAAAGAGAGGGCGTTGGATGCACGACTGACAAAATTTACATTATACGAGGAAGCGTTGCAGGGGGGCTGAGGCTGCCGCTCCCCCAAATATTGGTGGACGTACTGAACCGACTGGAGGTGGCGCCAGGACAACTGATGCCCAACGCATGGAAAATACTAATGGCTTGCGAGATCGCATGGCCACGGGTGACCGGGGGGACATCAATGACAGTGGAGGAATTCTTTTCGTGTTACAAGCCTTCCGGTCAACAAGAAACGTGGGTGACCTTATAGGCGGTGGCAGGCCGAGGACTAGTGGCGAGCTTACCATCGTCGGTGAAAGGGTGGAGACCGAGGTGGTTCTACTTATCAGCAAATGGTAGGAGTGGGGTTCGCACAATGTGGAAAGTCCCCATGAAGTCGGTAGAGCCAAGGCTAGAAGCGGAGGCTAAGAACATGGTGAAATAGGTGAAGGAGTGGAGGGAGAAGGAGGGTACGATGTGGGATGACCTAGTCCGACTTTATACCCCGTTTGCCTTAAGTCTAGGGCTGCAGCCGGCTGAGGAGGATCCTGCGTGAAAGGAGTTGGAGGTAAGGAGAAAAGCACAGGAGGCGGAGGAGCGGAGAACGTTCACCAAAGCGGACAAATATAAGGAATCACAGTTGGGGCCTGCACCTAAACTGGTGATGAGGGAGCGGGTCCAACCACGGCCCAAACCTTTGGGAGACAAAGATCTGACTGACTTTGTGTCACTGCTGCCCCCCCAGTGGATCTGCTTAAGGAGAGGAGCAAACAGGAGGTGGAGGTGATGTTAAAGAAGAAAAAGAAAAGGAGAGCGCCGGTAGAGGAGGGTGAGAGGGGTCCACTTTTGAAGAAGATGAAAGAGGGGAGGGCAGAGGAAACCCTATAAGTGGAGGTGGGGGAGATAAGGGCGGTAGGGGAAGAAGTGATGGGCCCAAGTGTCCAAGTAGAGATGGACGCAGTGGAGCCAGAGCAAAGGGCGCAACCACTCAAGATGGGGCATGTATCAGAAGTGGCCTCAAGTTCTGTAGAAGAAAAAGTTGGGGTGAGCGAACCAGAGATGGGTGCCGCGCTGAAGACCGCCATGTACCACGTGCACGCGGTGGCCAGTCGACTGGCAGAAGAAGGAAGAAAAACCAGAGTCGCAGCCAACCGTCTTGTTGGAGTAAGATGTGGTTGTGCGGTCGATGGCTCGATTAACAGAGGCCGACCTCCTGAGAGGGTTCTGCTCGGTGCAAATAGAGGCAGCGACCCTGGCGACTGCCCTGATGAATAAAGCAACGTGCGCGAAGGTGAAGGCAAAGCCGCTAAGGACCCAGCTAAAAGGAGTGAAAGCGCAGCTGCAAAATCTAAGGGCTGAGACAGCAGGCTGGAGGAAGACTGCGAGGAGCGCGTGTACCAAAGGGCTAGAGTATGTGCAGAGGGCAAAGAAGATGGAGGTACTGGCAGTGGTGTAAGGCTACTTGGCAGATCGTGCTGCCGCCGAGCTCGCCATGACCAAGTCAGAGCTGGAAGTGGTGCGCCACAAGGCGGTATTGCTAGAGTTCGAGTTGGAGAACGAGCAGAGGAAGGTAGGCGAAGTCCAGGAAGCCTGTACCACCGCCAAGGAAAGGTTGGAGGAAGCCCTGGCAAACAACGAAGATCTTCGTGACTAGGCAATCAAAGACAAGGAGGAAGCAGATGGGCGAATTGCAGACTTGGAGAAGGGCTTGGCAGAAGAGAGGGCCAAATTGGCATCTAAGAGGGCGGCGTACCTCGATTTATGTGTGGCTGCTGTGGAGTAATTTAAGGGGTCCACCAAATTCCAAATGGCCATTGACACTGCGGTCACTCAGAGCTTGGCGAAGGAGGGGGAAGGGGGTGCTCGGCCATCAAGAATGGCCGCTGAAGGTAGGAGCGAAGAAGAAATGATCCAAAGCTTTCAGCGGTCAGACTTCTACAAGCACAGGATGAGCTAGTACTGGGACAGCGGCTGGATGAGCTTCAAGTATAAGGCATAAGAGTTGTTCCCAGACGTGGACTTTAGTCACGTGAAGGTAAGGGAAGACGATGTTGTCCAGACTCCCTTGGATGAGGGGATTGAAGAGGAAGATTTCTCATCCAATGAGGGGGATTAATCGCTGTAGTGAAGTGTAAAAAAATTTTATTATTATTTTTTTTTTGTACATGTAATTTTTTGTAACGAATTGCATAAAAGTGCAAGTTTGTTGATAAAATGACGAGTTCTCTTATTGTTGTTGCTGTTGTTATTGCTTTGATTTGTAAAGTTTAAATGGTAAAAATGGCTGAGTAGAATTGGATAAAAATGGGTAAGAAAAATTTGGGAATATGAAATTTGATAAGTAATCTATCTTGTAAAAATGGCAAAAATGGGCAAGCAAGCTAATTTGTATAAATTAGTAAAAATGGATAATTATGAATTGGGATTTTAACTAAGTCTAGCAACAACTGATTGTAACTGCATACTTTGTCTGGATGAGACTAGTTTTGAATCAGACTGGATGAGTTCTTCGCGCTTAGTCTGGCTAAGACTGGAAGGGCTCGATCGGGTTAAGGCTTTAGTTAGCTCAGTCTAGCTGAGTTCTTCATGCTCAGTCTGGCTGAGACTTGAAGGGCTCAGTCGGGATGAGGCGTTAGCTATCTCAATCTGGCTGAGTTCTTCATGCTCAGTCTGGCTAAGGCTTTAGTTCACTCAGTCTGGTTGAGTTTTTCTTGCTCAGTCTGGTTGAGGCTTTAGTTAACTCAGTCTGGCTGGGCTTTTCTTGCTCAGTCTGGCTGAGACTTGGAGGGCTCAATCAG